TGGTGGACGGGTGTGGGTGATGGAGGAAGAAGAAGGGTTGGAGGTGGTCGGCTATGGTGGACGGGTGCGGGTGACGGAGGAAGAGGAAGGGTTGGAGGTGGTCGGCTATGGTGGACGGGTGCAGGTGACGGAGGAAGAAGAAGGGTTGGAGGTGGTTGGCTGTGGTGGACGGGTGTGGGTGATGGAGGAAGAAGAAGGGTTGAAGGTGGTTGGCTATGGCGGACGGGTGTGGGTGATGGAGAAAGAAGAAGGGTTGGAGGTGGTTGGCTATGGCGGACGAGTGTGGGTGATGGAGGAAGAAGAAGGGTTGGAGGTGGTCGGTTATGGTGGACGGGTGTGGGTGATGGCCGAAGAAAAAGGGTTGGAGGTGGTTGGCTATGGTGGACGGGTGTGGGTGATGGAGGAAGCTCGACGGACGCAATCCTAACTCTTAGCCTCGTGTCCCCTTTCCTACTCGGGCGCCCGGTCACCACATACTACTTTTGGAAAGCACCGGTCACGAAAACAGAGGAAGAAGTGATCTGTACTATCGGAACCGCAACACTCACACATACTCATACCACATGTTACCAGCTACCGCTAGGGTGAGGAAGTACTGAACTGGCTACCGGGACTACAACACAGCCACATACACACACCGCATGTCACCGGTTACAGCAAGGGGTGGGGACGCACTGAACTGGGCTACCGAGACTGCAACACACACACATACGCATACCGGGTGTTACAGGTTACAGCAAAGGGTAAGGGTAGACTGAACCAGTTACCTGGGACTGCAACACACATACATACAGATATTGGGTGCCACAGGTTACAGCAAAGGGTAACGGTGGACTGAACAAGTTACCGGGGACTGCAACACACACACATGCACATACCGGGTGTCACAGGTTACAGGAAAGGGTAAGGTTGGACTGAACAGGTTACCGGGGACTGCAACACACACACATGCGCATACCGGGTCTCACGGGTTACAGCAAAGGGTAGGGGTGGACTGAACAGGTCACCGGGGACTGCAACACACACATGTACTCATACCGGGTGTCAAAGGTTACAACAAGGGGTAAGAGTATTACAAAGGTTACCGGGGACTGCAACACACATACATACACACTAATTACCGTCAATTGACAGACTTGGAAACATCTAACCTAGTGGAAAGTTCATCGAAGTGTCCCGAGGCAAATCGCAACTTGCCCATGCATCAAGATCCGTACAA